TTTGTAGAAGCACTCCCCAGATGATGCTTCCCTCGATCACTACAATCTTTTCAAGTCTCTCGTTCTGATTTTAAGTAGAAGTGCCTTTTTTGTTTCCATTTTTCTTACGCCTCTTCGTTAGCCACAGGTTGAGTCCATTAAGGATTAAACATCAGTTGTAAATTGTCAATACAGTAGTCTACTTAATTTCGCTCGCTAGGGTAGACTGTTCTAGTTCCACGTGCCATGTCTAATGTATGTCATTTACAGTTATCTCCTGTTAAATCCCCTTTCAAAGTTCTCCACCGACGGGTATTGAACTCACATACTTTGAGTCCCGTCACTGGATCTAACTAACGCTGTGCCATGTGTCCTTGAGGCGTTAGTTAGATCCAGTGACAGGACCCAAAGAGTGTAAGTTCAATACCTGGTTAAGAGAGTGGAGAACTTTCAGAGGGGAATTAACAGGAGATAACTCACATTCATTAGATATGGCACGTGGAACTAGAACAGTCTACTCCAGTGAGCGAAATAAAGGGTTCAGTTCGAGATTCCAACCACCCGAAGAAGGCCGGAGCATACAACGGCCAATACGTGATAAACATAGCGACAAAGATGAGGACAATAGTCCGAATAATGTAGATTATCCTCATCTTTTTTATCTGTATTCCAACGTTTCTCCAGCGTTCTCTAGTTTATATCAGTGTTTACTTCCACTAGTTCCGTCATGACACATATACAGGATCGAATCTTCATCTTTCATTTTGGTAATAAAGAATTTCTGTTGCGGGTCATATATTGACTCGAAAACAAATATTGAATGACGGAATGACGGAAAACAACCAACAAAATGAAGAGTAAAAAGTATATATTTCCAAGAAAATATATTGGCAAAAATAAGATTACAGTGCACTAGGCAAAAAAAAAAAATCTCTGCATGTTCCTGTAGAGAGTAAGACGAGCATTGTCCTAGGAAGGACTGTTTTGTTGGCGTTGAAATGTTTCTCCTGAAAAGGACAGTTCTGTACCCTTCACAATTGTTGTCCTGAAAAGGACAATTTTGTAATCGTTGAAGAGTGTTATCCTGAAAAGGATATATATTGTTAAGCATTTCACTCCAAGCAAAGCGGAAGTGTAACCAGCACGCAATGGATTTCAGAGAGTGAAAGAGTAAAGAGGGGTGTTTGAGGAAAGGATAAAGAGAAGGACAGGGATCAGAAGATGTCGATTGACATTACATTTAAATTTTTGAAGATTATAGCTATCAGGGAAGCAAGTAAGATGAAGGGAGTTCCACTGTCAGGATGTGCGAGAGAAGAAGCTGTTGGAGTAGAAGTAGCAGTTACATTTAACTATTTCGACAGTGAAAGCGGGGCCGAGATGCCAACCTAGTAGCAGGCTTAAATTCATGCAGTCCGGGCACCAGTGAAAATAGCTTGTCAGAGAAGTTGCCATGAAAATATTTGTAGAAAAGTCAGAGGGAAGCCACATCACATCCGTGACTGTAGTTGAGATGCCAGGCCAGGACCTATCACATTGCATATCCGTCTTTGGAATTTTTCGAGAACCATATATGGTAACAGTATACAATACAAGCACGAATGGTAGTTGTTAAAAAGTTCTGTCTGTTTATCGATTATCGTTGCTGCTGGTGTTGCTGGATGGCTGGAGCTGTAGATGGCTGGCTGGAGAGGCAGCCGATGGCGTGCTGGAGCTGCGGCTGACAATGGCTGGCGGTCTGGAGCAGTCGCTGTTGTCGAAGTGAAGCTGCCGCTAATCACGATGACTGGAATAGCCGCTGGCTGGAGCAGTGAGCCGGCTCGCTGCTGATGGGACAGATACTAAATTTTATCCTCGTTATATTGGCCGCGGAATTAGTTATTTATTCCGGCCTCCCCATTGATACGAGATGTGACACAAGGTCTAGCTTTATTTTGGGGAAACGCAACGTATACACTCGGATCAAGGACAAAATTGCCCAGCCACCTCAACTGATTGTTGCGCTGTTATCGGTATAAATGCTGATCCACACTCTCGAGTTCAATGGAGGGATGCAGCCACGGGCGGCTGTTTCATGGAACCGGGCACATCGCAGTATTTATTTTTCTTAGCTGCGTCTCTGTTCGCAGACAGAGCCACAACTGAGTCGCATTCTGTCAGAAGACAGAGAGGGAACTGAGAGATGATAATATTACCCCTTGTTAGGTCATGGAATGCTTTCTTTCGTGATTTGAGGCCTTTTAGATCTAGCATTAGTTTTACAACAATCGCTAGTTAGTCTTCTTCCGGTATTTTTTTTATGCAAGAGAACCTGCAGAATACCACAGTTCTATTCGTATTGCTTCCTCCCTAAACCACTACTTTGTAGAACAGACTTAGGATCACTGTCTTAATATCTTCATGTCTAGTGTGGAACTTTATCTACATACATCTTTATTCAATAATCCTCTCCCTTGAGTGATTCTTGGACATATATCGTCCAAGAAATATTCAAGTTAGAAAACAGTGGTAGAAAAAAAATCTCTTTATCGAGTTCCGAGACTTCTATTTCTCGTAATAGCAAAGGTCTTTCCAGTTCTTCCTGCAATACCTAACAAATATATTATCGCTTAGATGATGGCAATGTCACTGTGGATATTAATTAGATAATTCACACTTTAATGAGTTTTAATTTTTATAACTAATACGGGATTTTACGATGGATATTTAAGGATAAAAAACATAAGAAAGCAACATTGATCTTTAATACTGTCCTTATTTGATCGTTATAAACCTCAACTGTCCGATTTGAGCAAGTTTGAATGTCAAATCATTTATAATACTTTCTTCATAAAATAGATTTTCTGTCTAAATCATATCTTCATTATTCTTGATATTAACAAAATAATACAATCTAACTAATAAGCTGCTTTTTTTTTCTTTGATCGATAATATTAAAAGCAATATACAGAAATACCCCAATGTTGACGTATTCAGGCTGGTATGGCAGATGCTATGTTTTAAGCTCAAGCGATTTTTTCAATGGACCGAACCAAAACTAAATTTTCCAAATGTCAGACGACAAAAATATTTTTCTGATTATTTACACACGACCAAATTCGGAAACGATACGATTGCTTGACTACTGATCCATTGTGGCAAGTATATTGAATATACTTTGCAAATGCTGGTTTTCTAAGAGTAGCTTAGATGTGACACAAGGTGAAAAATATGAATTACCCAGTGAGGATCGAACTCACAATTCAGTCGTATTTGATCGAGCGAGAAAAGTTTGGTAATCGTTACGCCACGTCGAAGTACCCTATAATTTTCTAAGCGAAGCTTAGATGTAGCACAAGGCCGAAATTGTGGAGTCCCCAGTGTGGATCGGACTGACTATAATGGTATGGTAGATTAGATGTGGTAAAAAGCCGAATGTATGGGACACCAGTGAGGATGGAACTCATTACTCACTAGTAATCGTTCTAGCGAGACAGTTTTGCTAATCATTACATGACGAAGTGTAAAAGATGGTTTTCAAATGCGCATAGCAGTTGTCGGAAGTTTTATCTGCATTGTAGCCTGTGGTAATGGGGTGCCAATACATTCCATTCTGTGAATCGTGTTATCTTCTTCGAGAATTCGTTTTATAAATAAGTTTTCTCTAAACTTTGTTCTCGAAGGCAGAAAATGTACTGTATGTAATACTAAAGTTTATTCATTATAAGTTTTCTGGTCATCGCCTTCTACTTCCAGCAGTGTTCTGTGAGGAGTCCCCGTAGAAGCTAAAATGGTAATTCTTTTTTTTGCGCTGCATTACAATCTCTTCAGAACTTTATTACAATTGTGGTCTGGAATCCATTTTCAAAAGCAGCTGGAATAATAAAAACGAACCTGTCATGAGAATTACCTTATTATATGCGTCAGTAAAAATGGACATTTGTCAAAAGATTGCTACATTAGAAATATACATGTCGAGTTTCTTTAATAAATCTGCTTTTTTTTTCTATATTTACAATACAGTGCACATTACGCCGTTTTTTTTTCCAGTCATGGTAAAATAACATATTCTTCTAGAATAAGGCCGACTCTTTACTGTCTGTAAAAAAAGGTATCGTTGTTTGCTTCGCCGCTTATCAGTATGTACACATGATGAACTAAACGAAATGTCAGCGTAGGATTACGCTGCTGATGTATCTCGCAAACGGCTCAAATAAAAACAGCATGTGACACTCAAAAACACATTCTTTCTGCTTCGAGCAGGCTTGCTTTTTCAATTTTAATCCGACGCTGTCGAATATAAAATTGGTCATAACATATCTGCAAAACACATCACAAGTCTTGAGTGAATGATAAGTTGTTTTTGTGGAGAAAATATAGCAGTCACAAAAATAAAACTAAAAACTAAAATGAGGATCATTAATGGCAGCAAAAGTTGTAGAAAGACCTGATCGACTCCATTTTTGAGAATACTGAAGAAGAAGAAATTTTAAGAAATGATGTTTATGCCACGACTGCTTGCCTTGTTCCTTTGATAATAGCTCTGCAAAACTTCCCATGCCTTGTATATTCAAGGAACAATAGAATCTTTTCCATCTATTCTTATTTCTACTCAGTCGTCCATCAACTCAAAATCGTCACGTAAATTACTAGATGTCTTGTGAATGTTAATTTTTCTAGGTTTAATTTCCATATGTTCAGAAAATTCATCTGTCTCATCCTGATTAAAAGTTTTTTTACATTTCGGTACATAATATAAAGGAACTAAAATACATTTTAGACAAAAAATGGCAAAATTAATTTCCGAATTGTTATTATCGTTCTGCCAACAAAATTGTATTTGTTTTTTACAGCAAGACATATTTTAGATTGTTAGAATGTTTTGGAGATAATAATAATTTTTTGATACTAGCCTTACTATTTAACCCATAGCTTGGAGGATGCTTATCTTCGCATACGTAACGTATCAGAGGGTAATTTGAACTCTACTCTTCGATTTCTCCCTCTGACACTTTATCTATTATACCACCCGCACATCCAAGATGACAGTACCTGGTATTCCAGTGCGGTCACCCATCTAGGTACTGACCAAGTTCAACGTTCCTTAACTTCGGTGATCGGACGAAAACCGGTGTTTCAACGTGATATGGTCGTAAACCCGGCACTAAGGTTTAAATTGTTATTGAAATAATAATTAAACCAAACTAAGTAGATGATATGTAGCCATAATAAAATAAAAAAACAGTGACAAATGACGCAAAAGCAGATACCGTACTTAAATATGTCATTCCCTTATGCATTCATTAGTGGCGTCAATTCATTTTTTTATCCGCTCTCACTACTTTTTGGATATGTAAGTGGTTGATGGCGCGGGACGTAATATCGATGAATTCTTCTCGGATTGATTCACATTCACTTTCCTGCACCTTGTAAATGGTATAAATCCATGTCTACTCACTTTAGCAAAGAAAAGAGTTCTTAAAATTTATGTAATACCAGTTCTCCTATATGGCAGTCAATGCTGGACAATCTCCGTACAGATGAAGAAAAGACTTGAAGCAACAGATATGTGGTTCTAGAAAAGAATGTGGTGAATACCATTGACTGGGAATATGGGCGGAAATAGAGAAAATGGAAAGAAAAAGGATACTTTTAAATAGCATTAGAAATAGTTAAAATTTCTAGGGTACATATGGAAAGAGGTTTTAGAAAATTTACCACTCGCAGGACACATTGAACTTACACTCTTTGGGTCTTGTCACTGGATCTAACCAATGCCTTTATCCACTGTGTCCTTGAGTTCAATACCCGGTTAAGACAGTGGAGAACTTTCAGAGGGAAAATTAACAGGAGATAACTGATAATAGACATCCATTAAAACATGGCACGTGGAACTAGAACTAGAACAGTCTACCCCAGTGAGAGAAATAAAGGGTTCAGTTCGACATTCCAACCACCTGAAGAAGGCCGGAGTGTACAACGGCCGAAACGTTGTGATAAATATGTCGACAAAGGTGAGAACAATAGTACGAATAATGTAAATAATGTACATAATACCTCATCTCAGAAATATAGACAGATTCAGTAAGGATGAGGCTAACCGTTTCTATATAGGAAACATTCGGCATTCATTGACTGCTACTGTCAGTTTAAATTCATAAAATCTTTTGCTTAAAATAGGTTTATTTTCAGGGGAACATGGGAACAAGATTCTACTTTCAGCATTCATTTTAATATTGATGGAAGTTTCCTTCCTAATGTTTTGTTTAAGTTATTGTGTAAAGTCAGCATCGTGATTATATCATTAGTTTCCCTCTTAATTCCTGGTGCAACCTCTTTTTGTTGTTGCTACTGTTGGAAGTCTTTAAGTGATGCTATTAATTGTTATGTGGTAAAGTTATTCATTTTCGATTCTGTAGAATCAGTCTAAAAGATATGATGAAAGATTGTCCGAGAGAATTTATTCGCTTGAAGATGTTTTTAATCATTGATCCCCGATGATTTAATCTCAGTTAAGCTTAATCATTCATCACCACTTAATAAGCAGAAAGACTAATCATGTTACTATTTTTCTGTATATTAAGGTGTATTTTATAGATTATTTTAAAATCTGTTTCGGGAATGAGTGCCATCTCATGATCTCTGTCGTTGTTCAAGTATCCAGTCATAGTCAGATTGTTTGGTAGAAAGTCGCCGTAAAAAGTCAAAATACTTCATAGTCACATACAAGACAAACAAACACCTTATCACGCTCTTCAAGACCAGCACCCACAATTTCTTCACATTTAGTCATGTGGTACGTAAGACAGTGCTGGCTATGGCGAAAAATGACATCTGGCAGCAAGGCCTCTGATCGTGAGAGATCGCTGTTGTCCCTAGGTCCACTCTGACACGGGCTGGTAGCACTTGTCAGGGTCAAAAGTATAGGCAAAAAATGACGCCCCCAAACAATAAAAATACACTATGAAATTATTTTTATAGTCAAAAATACCCGCAATACATTTTCACATAAAAAAATGTATTTTATCTGTCGTTAAAGTTCTACAATTGCGTTCAAAATATTTAGATTTCGCCATTAAATAACCAATAGAGATTGATATGCCGCTAAACAAAATCAACAAACCAACTTGAAAAACTCTTTCATGACATTAATCCATAAATCCTACAATTTCTTAAAGAAATCAAACTTTATTTCAAATAAAACATACACATAACCACCGCCTCTATTAATTATGTCCACACAAACATGTATATGCACAAATGCTGTGTACCATCTACCATGTATTCAATTGTGAAAGCAGAATAACATATATCATATATTTATTGCTTCAAATCTCCCAAGAAAATTAAATTCCGGCATTCAATGACCCATAAGGAGTTGACATGCCGTTAAACAAACAAATCAATCAATCAAAAGCTTCAACTGACAGAAAGTTGTGGAGAGACATAATCGCTCATATCCTGAAGAGATACGGCACAGTTAAGATGAAGAATTTCACGCTTTTCCTTGTGCTTTAATAAGAATAGTTCAGTATATATTAAACTACTTCTTTGTATTGCTTCGGCTTCTTCCATTTGAACGAAAAAAATAAATAAAATGTAAATAAGAATAAAATATACTATACGAAAACGTTAAGAAAATAATCATTGCAAATTCAAGACTAAGTTTCTCAATCAAATGAGAAAATATCTTGTAAGTTTTCATACTAAAAAACACAATTTAAAAGTATTTTTTAATCAGTCATGGCGGATAATTTCCTTCTGTGCTTGGAATAGACATTTTTTAAGACCTAATATTTGAAACTTCTCGGAAGTGATCTATATATTTCAAAAGTAACATTTAAAAAATTGCTGAAAAAGAATTGCAATATTCAGTTAGTGTATTACAACGACGTCTAAGAGTCGGAGAGGCCGTTAATAACAGAGATAGTTCAATCCCTACCTTGCTCCTCTGTTCCGACAATGAACAAGTCCTGCCGACAGTTACAAAGTAACAATAATTAATTTCTTCTCGAGTAATGATTTCAATCCTACCCGAATGTTTCAATATTTTAGTCTGTAACTCATTTAATATTAAAATACAATTATCGTCGGCGAATGTCAAAAAACAATTAATGAGAAGAACTTCCGGCGTTTTCTAATAGTAATCCTTCTTCAAACTAGCCTAATCTATCCGTCTGTTTATACACTAACGTAACAAAAGTCATTGGTTGGGTGCCTATGATTGACTTAGCAAGGCGATGTACATCACTCCAAAGTGGCATTGATTTTTAACTGAAATTCACACATAAAGTATTATTATTTACATTATTCTAATTCAAACGAATATCCTCGTCTTTATTGTTATTATCACAACATTTCAGATGTTGTTTCATCTAGACTTCATCAGATATCTGCAGAGTTGTTTAACAATGCAGTCTCTATGGTTATCGCTAGCTTCTTTTTCTATGTGCCGCGTCCCTTTATGACATAGACATTCATGGCTCTTCACAATTTCCTATCTCTTATGGCTATCTTTTCTTCCTTTGCTGCCCCCTGTTCGATCCTCGCTAGGTGTTCCATACTTTCAGACTTGTGTCAGATGCAAGCTACGCTTAGAAAATCACCATTTGCGCAAGCTCGTCAGGTAGGTAGCTCTCTTGCCCTCAAAATGCTGAGTGACAGTTACGTTTCCCAAGCCGGCTTTCGGTTTTCCAATGATTTTCAGCTCTCTTTCCCTGATTCTGACTATAAGTGTTCATTCGACTGCTATTTTCATGATGCTGTCATCTCGATCCCACCCTTTCACTGTCGAAACGGTTAGATGTAACCGCCTTTTTTACACAGATTCTTCTCTCACACTTCCCGATAGTGGAACTCGCTTCCTCTTAGTTGCTTCCCTGATAGCTATAAACTTCAAAAATTTAAATGTAATGTCAATCAACATCTTCTAATGGCTTGATCTTGATCCCCGTCCTTCTCTTTATCCTGTTCTCAAATCCCCCTTTACTCTTTATTAACTGTTCATTCCAAGTCCCCCTGCCTTTTTGGGGAGATGCTTAAACATATATATACATATATATATATATATATATATATATATATATAATTATTTGAATTCCCCGCCTATTGAAGTTTTCGGATCTTGTTTTGAAACATGCGACCTCTTATGTTGCGAGTTGAATATATTTTTAAATAAATATATATATATATATTTTGTATATACTATTTTTTAAAAATATAAAATACTAAGGACTTTGGATTATTTACCTAACCAGTTCTTTTCCTATTTTCTATATATTTTCATATATAATTATACACACACACACACACACACACACACACATATATATATATATATATATATATATATATATATATATATATATATATATATATATAATAAAAAAGGCCTAAACACTAATGTAATATTAATAAAGTCATTGGTTAAAGTGCCTATGATTGACTTAGAATGTACATCATTTTATTTTAATAAATAAAGTATTATTATTTACATTATTCTAATTCAAACGAATATCCTCGTCTTTTTATTGTTATTATCACAACGTTTCAGATGTTTTTCATCTAGAATCAGATATCTGCAGAGTTGTTTAACAATGCAGTCTCTATGGTTATCGCTAGCTTTTTTTTCTATGTGCCGCGTCCCTTTATGACATTATTCTTCACAATTTCCTATCTCTTATGGCTATCTTTTTCTTCCTTTGCTGCCCCCCTTTCCTCGCTAGGTGTTCCATACTTTTCGACTTTGTCAGATGCAAGCTACGCTTAGAAAATCACCATTTGCGCAAGCTATTAGCTCTCTTGCCCCTCAAAATGCTGAGTGACAGTTACGTTTCCCAAGCCGGCTTTCGGTTTTCCAATGATTTTCACACCTGATTCACACACATTCGACACACACACACACACACACACACATATATATATATATATATATATATATAAATAAACACTAATATATAATAAAGTCATTGGTTGGGTGCCTATAAAAGCAAGGCGATTAAATCACTAATGGCATTGATTTTTATTACACATAAAGTGTTTATTCTAATTCAAACGAATATGCAGTTTCTTTTATTAATATTAGTGTTTGCCTTTATTATATCCTTACCCTGGACATTGAGTTCTACCTGGATTCTATCGTCTTGGAATTATTTTT